ACTCAGACCCTTGAATTATAGATGATATTACACATGGATATCTGGAGCAAAGATCTCTTGACTAGTCAAATAGCTTCAAGGGAGATGCATGACTTTGCTGACATCTTAAATTTTCACTCAAACATGCTCTTGTTAGTGACTCCCGTACAGGTGCTGCAGAGGAGGGAAGTGATTGTTAGAAAAGAGCATTACCTCAGGCTTTGGAAAGAGTCTAGATGTCCATCAGCTGATGAGTGAGTGGATAATGAAAATGTAATAAATTCACACAATGGAATATTAGTCAGCTGTTAAAAATGAAACTATGAAGTTTGCCGGTAAATGGATGGAGCTAGAAAAAGCATCCTGAGGGAGGTACACCAAACTCCAGAAGACATGTATTGTATGTTTTTCTCTTTCAAGCTTTAGATATGTGTCTTGCAATCCGAGTAACCACAAAAGTTAGGTAGATAGTAAGGGACCAGGGGAAAGCGAGTCTCTACTAAGGAAGAGGAAATAGAATGTAATGGTATGGACAGACAAAGGAGAAACTGGAATAGGGGGTTAACTAAGGAGGAGTATGAAAGGGAAGGGTAAAGAGGGAATGTGGGGAAGGATAATTAACATTAAAGGCTGTTTGAAAAGCTGCATGGAAACATTACTGTAGAAATTTCCTAAAATAAGTACACATATGAAAGGAATTCACATAGAGTCATCCAATAATAGAGGAGACAATGCACCACCTAGACCTGTTATGCCAACAAGTAAATCTTCAGTGCCAGACATAGGTTACAATCTTGTTGAGGAGTCAGCCACAGGAGTGTCATAGACCTCCCCAGATATCTCAGACGATTGCTAATGCTATTGGTTACTTTCTGTAGCTGATGGTCAAGCCCTAATGTTGAAAACACAACTTATTTATGTCACTGAACATGGAGAAAATGATCTGGTACCCAACTAGAAGCATCACTCCTACTGATTAGTATTCATGGTGTGAAGGTTCTTTGTACACTGTTGGTTGAGAAAAGTAATTATTATTATTATTATTATTAAGCTACAAGTCATATGACCCACACCAAGGACCTGCCTGCAAGAATAGTGGTGCAAACATGATACAAATATTTTGAAGGTAACCAGCCCCTTTTTGGTTGGATTTAAGGCCAGGTCCATGAGTCTGAACCCATACCTAACACTGCTAAAGTGGCCAAGAACTTGAGACTAGATACATCATGGGCCTAGGGGAAAACATATTACTAATATTCTGCCAAAGGAATGTAGCAATAAAATGATTGCTAATGACATATTGTCATACTCATATATCAGAGTATCACTCAACCTCCATCAGAGAACCTTCTTCTTGCAGTAGATTATAATTAACACAGAAACCCACAACTGGTCAATGGGCAGAGATTGAGAGATTTTGAAGCATTCATCCCTGAATGGGGGATGTCTTTATGAACCCCTTTTCCTCAGAGCTCAGGGATCTATGTGGAAGAGGAGGTGGAAAGATTGTAAGTGCCAGAGGTGATGATGAGTCCTAGAAAACAGCACCTCCAGACCTAACAGAACTGATGCACATGTGAATTCACAGACTGTGACAGCATGCACAAGATCTGTACAGGTTCAAACTAGACATGATCTCAACACTGAGAAGGGGAAGTGGACACAAAGTTAGTCCTAATCAAGAAGCTATTTTCAATTGTTACTGGCTAGAAATGGGAATATGAGTGTTCTCCAGTGGAGCATCTCCATGTATATTAACCACACTCTAGGGGAGGCCAGGAATAGTTGGCCAACACAAAGCAAATTCAAAGTATAGTATTTTGTGTGTGTTTTTCTGTTTTGTCCTGTTCATTTTGTGTTTGCTTGTTGCTTTTGATTTTCATTTGTTTGGTTGAGAGAGAGAGAGAGAGAGAGAGAGAGAGAGAGAGAGAGAGAGAGAATGAAGTTGGGTGGGTAGGGATGTGTGGAAGATATGGAGGGAATTGAGGAAAGGAAGGAATATAATCAAACTATAGTGTCTGAAAAAACATTCTAAAGAAAAAATGAGGCAATTTAACTGGGAGCTCAGGAAACCCTGAGAAAGAGAGGGAGTGTAGCAGGAATCTTAAAAAGTTCTTATTAATAAGATCAAGAATTGTAGGAGCCAAAAGTATTGAGGACACCATAAGAACATGGTCCATAAACATCAACTAAGCAAGGCTCATAGGGTCACACAGAGACTGAAGCAGCAATCATGGAGCCTGCCAGGGTCTGCACTATGTCTTCTGCACTATGTCTTCATATATGTTATGGTTATTAGCTTGATGTTTTTATTGGGCTCCAACAGTGGGAATAGGGGTGTCTGTGACTCTTTTGCCCACTCTTGGGACCCTCTTCCTCCTATTGGGTTGCCTAACCCAGCCTTGATATGAGTGTTTGTTTCTTGTCTTACTGTATCTTGTTATGCCAATTTGGTTGATATCCCTTGGAGGCCTGCTCTTTTCTGAAGGGAATCAAGGAAGAGTGGATGTGGGGGAAAGAGGAGTGGGGAAATTGGGTGGAGTTTAGGGAGGGAAAATTGTAGTCGGGATGTACTACACCAGAGAAGAATAAATAAATTAAATAAATAAATACATGTATAGTCAATGACCATAGTGTTCTTTATAAAAGAAAACTTGGAAAAACTGATAATATGATGCTTATTAAATAAATTATAATGCATAATATGTGATAGTTATTAAAATAGTTAATGATCCTATTAAAGTAAAAAAAGTCCATAAAATATCAGTTAAAGACATGAACATATGCTCTTATCTATATAAAATTCTATGTTTATATAAAAAGTTTCCTCTGTGAAAAGTGGTAATGTTTGAAAAAAGTTTCAGAAGCAATGTTATATAAAAAACAAAGTCTCAATAGAATGCACAGAAGAAAATTACATCCAGTTGTGTGGTGGGTCTTTTTCTGCCTCAGCTTCTCAAAGAACTTTCATTGCTCTTAGGCTGGCTTGGCTCATGGAGATTTGTAGGTCACATTCTTGTTTATTTCTCCAGTTATGTTCTCTAGCATTCTGCCTGTCTGCCTGTGCAACATTCTTCCTGACAGAGCAAGATGCTTCCTACCTGGGCAACATACTTCATGCCTGTGTGACATCCTTCCTACCTGTGCAACATCCCTCCTGCCTGTTCAACATATTTCCTGCCAGCCATGTGGAATCATGCCTGGTTTCTCACTTGCTACATAATATCTCTCCTACACATTTTCTTCTGCTCAAGGAACTAGTGAATCCATTCAAAAGTTTTTGTACTTTTATCTTCAACTGTAACTATTTGCTCAAAATGATTTGCTTGCATGTTCCATACATGTTCGCATGTATACACACAAATATCACCATATGTATATATGCATGATTTAAAGGTTCATTTTTATGTGTATAAAACTGACTTGTGAGTATGAGTATATGCAAATGTGTGTCACATTCCCTGGACATGGATGAGCAACCTTTGGTGGGTGCTAGGTATCAAACTCAGATTGTCTGCATGGCTATCTCCAGAGCTCATAGTGCATTATTTAAACATCAGCAGACATTGTTGCCATTCTTATTTTATCTATTAATTTATATATATACCTACAATTTTCTACTTTCTTCACTATGTATTTCTTGCAGATCGTTTACTGATAGACATTTTTTTTAACCTTCTCAAAGACCAGTCTTTACTGTTGCTGTTATACCAGGACCCTGGTAGATAAATCTGAGTTTTTTGTTGTTGCTGCTGCTGTTTGTAGGAACAACATCAATTTTGTGTTCTCCTTTTTCATTTTATTTAAACAATATAAACAGTGGAATTTTATTGAAACAATATAAGCAGTAGAATTAACATACCTTAACCTTACAGTACAATTAATTTTTTCAAAGGCATGTTCTCCCATGGCCTGCAGCCCAATCAATATTTATAGCACTCCCTGTCTCCAACCCCAGAAAATCTTCATACTGCCTTTTTGTCAATGTCCCCAAGGACAGGTCTTCAATCACTGTCATTATAGGTTAGTTTTGACCCACCTATAACCTAGTAGAAATAGATACATATTTTTTCTTTTACATAAGGCTTGTAACCCATCCATACTTGTTTGTTTTATTACCTTCCAGGTATGTCATACTCTGTTTATTCAACCGGTTGCTGAGAATTGTTTAGTTCTTTTCTGTTTTCATGGTGGGATATTTAGAGTATTGCTGCTGTGACTCACATCTCTAAGAAAGGTCCCAACAGTCTGCTCTCCTTTTTCTATATGGACAAATATAATCCCTTCGCTTAATGGGGGTTAGACTAAGGAATTTGTTTCCAAAGGGAAGACAATAGGAAGTATCTTAAGACACCATGAATAACACTGCAACAACCATCTTTATACATAGATTCCACATGGATGATTGTTTTTCTAAAGAAGACAGACATAGTTGAGTCATTGGGTCAACATTGCTAGAGACACTGGGGGCCTAGCCTCTGCCCCCATGTGCCAGAGAAGCAGGGCATAAAGTCAAAGGCAATCACCTCATGGGCTTAAGGCCAACTGGGGACCAGTGACTCATTTTTTCTTGTCTTTGTCTCCCTTTTGGAATGAGAATTTCTATCCCAAGTCTACCCCACCAGTGTGCTCTGGAAGTAACAAGTTTGTTTTCCCAAGAAGACAGGAGGGAGGTGTTCTAAAATTAATTATGCCTTGAGCCTCATTCATATCTGATTTACATGAGTTTTTTTTACTTCTGGGCTGTTCTGCAAACAAATTAATACCTCTGGTGTTACCAGAATGAAATGGATATAATATGAATATAAGAGGTTTCAGAGAATTCTATAGTTTAAGAGATCCACCAGAGTTCATATGTTAAAAAACCAATTCCTAACATCAGAGAGGAGGGACCTCTGGGGAGTGACCAGCACATGAGGGCTCTTCTCTCAGGAACAAATCAGTATTACTACAGGAGTAGGTTTCTGATAAAAAGACAAATTTGGTTCTTTTCCCTTTTCATCACAGATTTTCTTGACCACTCACTTTGTACCAAGGAATGATGTAGCAAAAATGTCCTCTCCAGATTCTGGCTCGTAAGTAGTGTCCTTCCATATCTGGAGAACTAAAAAAAAAAAAAAAAAAAAAAAAAAAAAAAACAAAAAAACAAAAAAACCCCAAAACTCCAAAATTCCAAAGGTCATAATTGGTAAAACAACAAAAAAAACCCCACAACAAGGGGGGTTCCAAGGGCCCCAGGAACGGAAGAAAAAGAAAAAAGAAGAGTAAAGAGCACAAAGGTTTGGCTGTAAGATGACTAAGTTACAGAGGTCTAATAATACACAGCATTGTGCCTATTGTAGAATATTATTTTAAGGTATGTTACTTTTGTTTATGCTTTGGAACATTTGTTTAATGATGCAAAGATGTGTTTGGTTAAACAAAATTCACCTGTGGTCAGGAGGCTGCGTCCGCAACTAGCTGACAGGAAGTGGTAGGGAGGAGCCAGATGGAGAAGGGTCTTTAAGGAAAAGCAAGGAGGCACACAAGGGCTTTTGGGGAGGATGCTAGGAAGGAGAGGGGGTGAGCTACTTGCTAGTCAGCCTCTCTGGGGAGCAAATTCCACCTCAACCTTTGAATTTTGAGTTCTTTAGAGGGACAGAGATTTAGTGAAGCTCCCTTTGTAGCTTTGGAAGAGTTGGAGCCGAAGGAAACAGAATTCCCTGTAGCTACGGCCCTTGCAGCCTAACTGCTGCTGGTAGTGGTGGAGTTGCAGTTGCTCATTTAGGCAGCTGTGGCTTAAAAGGCAGCAACAATTTAATAAAAGGACAGCATGTGCCTATGGGTAATAATGTACTGTACATTTCAAATGTGCTGAGAGAGCAGATAAGTGTTTTCTCTGTGTATAATACAAAAGAGCAACTATGTTAGGATATGGATGTGCCAGTTGACTTGGTTCTGCTAATACTTTCATAACTTATGTATGAAATCATCACACTATATGTCTTAAATCTATAAAATTTCAGTGGATGATAATACTTCATAAAAGTACAAAAAAGGATTTTGGGCTCTCTGCCTACTTCACATACTTTCATGAAGTCACTTTAGTAGTTTTATAAA